AAAAAGTCTGATGAATTTTAATAATGAGCTCATTACAATGAAGTTGCACTTTATAAAAACAATGTATTGGTACCTAAACCTATAGAGAAATCTCATCTTGAACATTTCTACTATACCCTGAAGGAAATGTGATTATTCCTTTAGAGTAATAGAGGGGGGGAGAAGAGTAATAGCGATAGAGGGAAAAAAAAAACCAGAAGAATTTATCTTTAATAATAAACTATAGCAGAGAGAAATTCTACCTAAAAGGTCAGGGAAGACAAAGCCAATCTATTCTAAAGTTCAAAGGTATAAACCATTTAACAAAATATTCTTAGAACCTTAAGATTCAATTTGTTAAAATATCTTCAAAGTTTTATACATCCATCTACACAAAATCTTTTTTCATAATTTAATTAGAGCTAAGTGAATAGCAACAAGCTTCATTACTGCCATTTGAGATGGAAAGAGTTCTAAAGCGCCACCTATTTTTCTACCTTGCAACAGCCCAATAGATCACCTTTTCTCTCTCTTGAGATTGAATTTTTCTAAAGTATCATTCTTCAACTAGTGCTAACAAAGATTGGTCAGTATTCACAGAGCACCAAGTCTGAACAGTTATTTCAAGATAATGCATTCTGTTCTTTTTCATTTTCTTCCACAGATTATCTAGCCCTGATTTTATTTGGGAAGATAATTCATGATAATATCCAGTAGCACTAAATTTATAAATTCTCTAGAATATGCTACAAAACTTCCAAAGTACTCCTAACTCCTGGTAACTACTTTTTCCCCTAGGAAAAAAATGGAATGGCATGGTTATGATGCCAGCACCACGAAGCAGGGGCTAAAAAATGATTCAATCACCCATCAAGTTATAATCAGCCTAAGTGCCATTCTTGTATTAGGTTTCTGTGCAAAACAGAAACATTGGACCTAGAATCAAGACACAGGGTTTATGCTCTAACTCCCCACATTTAAGACCCTTACTATCCATGTGACTTAGAGTTACTTAAACTCCTGGACCTCTTTATCCATAAAATGGAATACATACCACCACTCATATCTAAGGATAGTTGATATTATTAATACTAAATTATATATATGAAAGTGAATTGTATACCATGAATGTATATGTGGTTTATATTATTTTGAAGTAAATTCCTAAAATGGAAAAAAAAGTTAATCACTGAGCAGTCTGCTTTATCTTTTTGTTCTATTTTTATGGCCAGTTGTTCTTACTACAGATCACAGAGTTGTAATTAGAATACAGTATATATATTTGTGTATATTTATGTGTGTGTTCATATATATATATATATCATATATATATATATATGAACACACTCACACACACACACATACTGGTTAGAGCAATTATATGTATGTATACACACTCACCAAGAAAATAAATACTATGAAATGTGCTATGGTTCAGATATTTGGTTCCTCCTAACCTCATGTTGAAATTTGATCCCCAATGTTGTAGGTGGGGCCTAACAGGAGGTATTTGGGTCATGAGAGTAGATCCCTCCTGACTAGATTAATGCTCTCTTTCTGGGGGTGAGTTCTCATTCCCTCTACTAGTTCCCTTCCAGAGCTGTTTGTTAAAAAGAATCAGGCACCTCCCCCTTCTTGCTTCCTCTTACCATATGATCTCTGCACACACTGGCTCCCTGTCATCTTCCACCATGAGTGGAAGCAGCCTAAGGCCCTCACCAGATCCCCAGTCTTGAGTTTTTTCAGGCATCAGATTCATGAGCCAAATAAATCTTTTGTTTTTATACATTGCCCAGCCTCAGGTATTCCTTTATGGCAACACAAAACTAAGACAATGTATAAGCTACACAGATCATTACTTCTCTCCCTTCATTAGTCAATGCAGGTAGATGTTCATCAAGTGACATGACCAAAGGCAAATAGTGAGATATACAATAAAGGGCCTGGATTAGATAATTCTATCCTGAGAGAACCTTTCACAATGGTTAATCAAGTGTCAAAACAGCTCCATTAGAGCTAGTTGGGCCTCTGAGACCAAATAACCCTGAGGGATCAAACCAATGACTGGGGCTGGTATCATCAGAAGGCAATATGTAGATGACTTTCCAACCACTTCCCATATCTTTCAGAATAAAAGCCAAAGTCCTTACTAGGATCCATTAAGTCCTTATGTGGTCTATTACCTTAAATCTCAACACCTACTGATCTCCCTTCACACTGGTCATTAAAGATACATAGGTCTTCTGTTTCTTTTTTTGAGACAGAGTCTCACTTTGTTGCCCAGGCTAGAGTGAGTGCCGTGGCGTCAGCCTGGCTCACAGCAACCTCAATCTCCGGGGCTCAGCGATCCTACTGCCTCAGCCTCCCGAGTAGCTGGGACTACAGGCATGCGCCACCATGCCCGGCTAATTTTTTGTATATATATTTTTAGTTGGTCAATTAATTTCTATTTTTGGTAGAGACGGGGTCTCGCTCAGGCTGGTTTCGAACTCCTGACCTTGAGCAATCCGCCCGCCTTGGCCTCCCAAAGTGCTAGGATTACAGGCGTGAGCCACCACGCCCGGCCAGGTCTTCTGTTTCTTGAACACATATGCTAGCTTCCATCTCAGAACCTCTGCAGTCATTTATTCTCCCTAGGATACTCTTATCCCAGGTATACAAGTGGCTAGCTCCTCACTTCAGTCTTTGGTTACTTTCTGTTAACTCCTTTCTGGTTACCCAATCTAAAATTTCAATACTTTCTCCATGACACTTTATATCCCCACTCCCTGCCTTTACTCCTTGCTACTTATCTCTAACGTAATACACATTTTATCTGGTTTGTCTGTTTCCCCCTACTAGAATTAAAGCTCCACGAGAGGAGGAACATGTCTGTATTCATTGCCATATCCCTAAGCACATAAAAAAAAATCTGGCAGATATTAGGTACTTAATAAATGTAACAAATAAATGAACAATAGCCAGATGACTATATATTGCTGTTAAACAAATCACTTTATTACCTTTCACAGTCCTGGAGGTTTACTGGGCTCAGCTAGGTGGTTTGGTTCTTGCTCAGGCTCTCTCTCATGTAGTTACAGTCAGAGGATGGGGCTGGGATCATCTGAAAGCTCACTCCCTCACATTTCTGGCACCTAGGCTGTGAAGAGTCAAAATCTGGGAAATGAAACAGCCAGAGTTTCTCAGGCATCTCTATTTCTTTATGGGGTATTCATGAGGTCTCTCCAGTATGGGGTTTCAAGGTAGCAGGACTTCTTATGTGATGGCTTAGGACAAATGCCCCAAGAGAGGAAATTGTATCACCTTTTATGTCCTAGCCTCACAAATAAATGGCTCTGCCATAGCCCTACTCTATTAGTCAAAGTCACAAAAACGCATTCAGATTCAGGAGGTGAAGACAAACTCTCCTTTTTTCCTTTTTTTTTTTTAAACAGGGAATAGAAAGGTTCTGGAAATGCATGTGGGGCAGAAATATTATAGCTATTATTGTAAAATACAATCTGCCACACCAAGAAACAAAAAAGGAATCAGTAAGCTCAAGGGCCAATGTCCTAGTAGAGAATGAGATGGACCCGGGAGCAGGCAACAGGTGACGGTCCCACAGATAAGAATAAGAAGGAAATATCGACCACCCGTAACAGGAACTCAAACAAGCACACCAGAGTGTGAGGGTCTGGGAAGACTTAACTACCAAGCATCCATAGGTAAACAACAACAAACATCAACAAATAACCGCCATCAAATCTTGAAAACCTGACTTTTAGTTCTGACTTTGACTTTCACTTTGTGACCTAAGGTAGATAATAATTACTTAACATCTAGCATGCTACCTCTACTGACAAGTTAGCCCACCAGTAAGGCCTGGTTAGAGATTTCTGATGCTACCTTATGTAGACTTTCTCAAAGCAAAGACAGAGTAGTTTATTCAAGGCTTTCTCTTTTCCTTTTTCCAAAGTGGGTCCCTCAGCTCTAAAATTGAAAGGTTCAAAGATTTCTTAAGACTTTCATCCTGTCAATGACTGAAGTTAATGGACTTGCATGCTTATAAGTCTGGATGATATACACAAACTATTTGAATAGTATTGCAATGTTTTCTTTTATTTCCTACTCTAGAGCAAAGTTTTAACAGGTCCATGTTTTAAATCAACAGGCTGTATTTGTACAGTATCAGACTTACTGGGCTTTTAGTTAACTAAATTATTTCTTCTCATCTGTAATTAGATAAGGTTGAAATTGCAAATTTGTGAACAAGCTCAATACAGCTTCATTTACAGATCTTAAAAACTACTAAATATAGGCCGGGCGCGGTGGCTCACGCCTGTAATCCTAGCTCTCTGGGAGGCCGAGGCGGGCGGATCGCTCGAGGTCGGGAGTTCGAAACCAGCCTGAGCAAGAGTGAGACCCCGTCTCTACTATAAATAGAAAGAAACTAATTGGCCAACTAATATATATACAAAAAATTAGCCGGGCATGGTGGCTCATGCCTGTAGTCCCAGCTACTTGGGAGGCTGAGGCAGGAGGATTGCTTGAGCCCAGGAGTTTGAGGTTGCTGTGAGCTAGGCTGACGCCACGGCACTCACTCTAGCCTAGGCAACAAAGCAAGACTCTGTCTCAAAAAAAAAAAAAACTACTAAATATCCTTTGTCCCCTCTTTCAAGTTGGGTTGGGATTCCCAAATAATTATACTGTTGCTACTCACCTACAAGCCCTACCAGTTAGAAAGGAGTCACTTTTCTGGGTTCCAAGTGACCCCATATATTGGCACTCAGGATACTGAGTTGCAGTTCCTCCCAATAGTCTCCTGGCCTTCTCATCTTTTCTATAGAACCATCAAGTGATGAATTCATAAAGAAACCAACAATGGATTCCTTTATTTTTTAACCTTCATATTTTAGTTTTCCAGCTTAAGTCAGTATTAGTGTTTTTATGTACAGCTGTAGTTTTGAGTACCTGTTGTATTTAGTTATAAAGACATACTCTTTCACTTTATCAGGCATAACAATAATTTCATTTATGTTCAGCCCTTGGATTGTCTCAGGATGTTGCAGGTGCAACTTTCATGGCAGCGGGTAGTTCAGCTCCTGAATTAGTTACTGCTTTCCTAGGTAAATATTGCTTTTTATACTTTTTGCTTACTCAATGTGATTTTATTATATTCAAGTTAACACTAACTTAGCTACTACTATCTTGCACATAGGTGTATTTATCACAAAGGGAGATATTGGCATTAGCACCATTCTTGGATCTGCAATTTATAATCTCCTTGGCATCTGTGCAGCCTGTGGCTTGCTGTCTAATGTGGTATGTAAGGAAAACTTCAACAAAATTCATTGTCTTGACAGAGTCTAAAAATAACTTTTTATAGTCTGAGACAAACAACAAGGCACTAGTAATGTGTTCAATCAAATTTATTAATCAGTAGAAAAACATGTATTCAATTTAAAGTTAACCCACAAATAAATAGCTCTTGGTCAAATTTATGAAAGTCAGTGTAGGTTTAGAAACACAATTGTTCTTTAAAACTCCTTTTCCTCTAAGCAATATGCAAAAGGTAACAATATGTAACTACAAATATACACGCAATTTTAGTATTAAACTAAGCATTGTACTTGAAGAAGTTACACTATGATGGAAACAATAACTTAACTATCACTTTACAGGTTTCAACGCTCTCATGTTGGCCCCTATTCAGAGACTGTGCAGCATATGCAATTAGTGTAGCAGCAGTTCTTGGCATAATATTTGACAACCAAGTTTACTGGTAAGCTTGAGATAACTGTCACTCTTATATAAAGCACAATTACAGAAAGGGATTTTATGAAATTCTGATGGTTCAGAAATTTTTTGTTCAGAAATATTATTTCAATCTGCCACTTCCACACCGTATTCCAATGAGTCTCTGAACTAACTTACTCATTATAAAACTAGTTGGGTTCTTCTCATTACTTTGCAATTTCTTTTTAGTCACCTCAAGTCTCCTTTTTTCTCTCATTAGTTACTGGAGACCACCACTCCTCCTTCTCTCCACTGGCTGCCTGTTCTGAAAGTATACCAACATTTGTTGTCTGTTGAAGTCCCAATAGTTGGCTTTTTCCCTTCTGCTGGGTTATTGCTTACCTTGCCTTGATTAGAAGTGGTCATTGTCACAAAAGATTGGAGAAAGATGGTGTAGGAAGTAAAGAAGTCCCTTTATATTCCTCCAAACTTCTCTCTGATGCTCATTTAGCAGGAGGAACTACAGCCTTTGTCTTCTAAGACCAACAATGTTTAGCTTTCAATATTAAAAATTGTTTTTCCTGTAATCTCTCTGTGCCCAGCTGGTCCAAGAAAATGAAAAAGGGGGCAACTTAGTGCACAGACATCAACTTTTTCAACTAATGAGCACCAGGCATCTACTAGGTGTCTATTACTATGCTAGGCATCATAAGGGATAAAGAAATGTAAAACTCACAGCCCCACAGGTTGTACACTGCACAACCCCCAGAGGACACCAGAAAAACAGAAAACAATGTAAAGGTGCCCATCTGGAGTAACACGACTTAAGAATACTGTATAATACCTGCTATTAAGACACTGAAAATTTAATAGGGAGCAGAATTTCTAAATTAATCATCCAGTCATCTACATCTAGTCTTTTCCCCAAAGACAGACTGTGTTGGTGAACTGGGAATCCTTCTGGAATTGAGCAGTTTTCTGTAAGGGACAGTGACTGTGAGAGTATCCAAGCTAAGGCTTCCACCATAAGGGAAATCAGAAACTCTGTTCTTTCAGCTGTAGCAGAGAGAGATTTATAGCTACAAAATAACAAGTAAATGCAAGGTTCAAATGTGATAACATTAGCTAACTGCCAGAATATAAATAGTTCTTGGAACCTAAGTAGCAGTTTTTTGTAATGTCCTTATTTTCTTGTGAATACAAACCAAATTCAATATATTACAATCATCAAAAAAATCTCTGTATAACAAACTGAAAAGCCTCAGCCAAAGCCTTACATATTCTGAATATTTTACACAAAGTTCCTATAGCAGAAAATTTGAATGGACATAATTGAAATGAATTAACAGATACTATATTCTCTTATAGTTGTTATGTATTTGGGAAATGTATCATGTCAATGAACTGAGGTAGAAAATGTCCACCACTATTCATTAGTTTTACTTTCATTTTAAAAATCTCCAATTATTATTTTCCAGGCATTTTTTTATGCCTACCATTTGGAAAGAGTTTATACATAAAGACAATGAATTATAATCTTCTTTTTTAAATACAGAAAGAAGTATCAGGCTCTTATCAATAAATATATAGTAATGTTATAACCAACTGGACAAATCTACAAAACAAAAAATACCTAGAAATGTTTGATCATTCTAATGCTGCTTCTGTTAGAAAATCATTAGATACTGCCCAAAAGCTATTAACTTTAAAATGACTTTCTTTTTTAATTTAAAAACACAAATTTATCTTCTTTAATCTATAGGTATGAAGGAACTTTATTGCTTTTGATATATGGATTATATGTATTAGTGCTGTGTTTTGACATTAAAATTAACCAATATATTATAAAGAAATGCAGTCCTTGCTGCACCTGCCTTGCCAAAGCTCTGGAGGAGAGAAGTGAACAACAGCCACTGATGGGATGGGAAGATGAGGGTCAACCATTCGTTCGTCGGCAATCAAGAACTGACAGTGGAATATTTCATGAAGATTCTGGCTACTCTCAGCTCTCTATAAGTTTACATGGTCTTAGTCAGATTTCTGAAGGTAATAACTACATCCTGCCCACCATTAAGTCTAGAAAAATTTAAGCATCTCATTTCAATTTGGCAAGTATTATGTTCTTATTATGTAAAAGGTGAGGAGATTAAGAGTTAATAAAGAGGAAGTCCCTACCCTTAAGGAACTTCAAATATTGCAGGAAAAAGAAAGCAAAACAGCTAAAATATGAAGGTATATAATACCATAAAAAGATAAAGTGTAACTGTGATTCATAAATAGAACACAGTGTACAAAATTTAGTGAAGAGAGTTAGGAGATTATCACAAAGCATTTAAACTTAGCCTTGCCAGATAGGTAAGATTTTAACTAATGACCTGATGTTATGACCAATAAGTAACGGCTACTGAAGTCTTTATATTGTATCAATGATGCAAAGAATAAAGTGTTAATATATAGCACATCATCTGCACAGTAAGGAAGCAGAGGAGGAATGGACAGAAAGGAATAGGATATGAAGTATCTTAAATGCTGGTGTTAAGAATCTTAGGTTTTTGAGGAGGAAAATTATTACGACTGTTAATTTAGGAATATTATTCTGAACTGATGTTCATAAAAGAACTGAAATATGAGGTAACAGACAAGGAGATCTGACAGAACACATCTAGCTAATGTGTTCACTAGATGCCTAGGTAGAGTAAAAGCAGTGGGGAAAAAAGAGAACAGATGTGAGACAATACAGAGAAAGCATCGGCAAGACTTGTCAATTGAGAGACTAGACAAAGCCAGAAAAGGGAAAAAAGACAACTCCAAGGTTTTGATCTTGACGGAGAAAATGGGAACACCACTTATAAAACTGGAAATTCTAGGAAAGAGCCTGGTTTGGAAGAAAAAAAAGAAGAAAACAGTTGAGATTTAAACATCATTAGAAGCAGTAGCAAAACATTAGATAAATATGTTCAATAGGAGGTCAAATTCAGGTAGGGCCAAAATTGTAAGTTTGTGAGTTACTTTTTTATGAAGTGGTTGTATAAAATAGATACTAATTTTAACTAAATGCATTAGTAAGGGAATATGTTCTAATTTGCTATTTAAAAAACTTAAAACATCACTTTTTCCCCTTCTTACAAAAAGTATAGCTTCTAGTCTTTCAGGTACAAGAGTTATGGATTTCTAAGTTAAATTTGTAACAAGAAATTAAAAAGAACCAGTCCAAATTCTTTGATTACATTACAATTATTTCTAATATTACTTAATGGTACATTGGTTAAGGCTTGGCAGACTTTTTTATGAGTTATTTTACTAGCATTAGTTGTAATGTGATCTAATATATGAGTACATTATTTTGTCAATGCCATACAAATTTTAAACAATTTTAAATTCCCCTTTTTATCCAATATATTATCGTTATCCTTGTCTTCCACTAACTTAAACTGAATAAAGGAACATACTCAACTTTCATTAAGTTACACTATAGAATATCCTACCTCCTATTTTCTTAATGTTCTTTCTAAGAATTTGGTAAAGTATGAATTTAGTAAATAAAAGAATAATGAAACAGACCAAAAAACCCCACTTATAAGTAGAATGACATATGTAACTTAATAAAAGGATTATGCAAAAGTTATTTTATATTCCCTAAGTATGCATTACCTGATACATAGGGCAGGCAGAGGCACCATCAATATAGTGGAGACAACTCCAGTACCTGGGTTAGAAGTCAAGTTAATCCCATAAGCAAACAGTCACTGAAGACAACCCATATTGTAGAAAACCAAAAGATAGCCAACTGATACTTCATAAACGCTATCTCTAACATAATTTAGTGAGTGAGCCAAGACATTTTGATGTATTTAAGGCCCCAAATCAAGAAATGCTGAGTATCACATCTTACATTATCTGCCCTAAAGTTTCAATTAGTTTCTTTTTGCCAACAATATCAGTAATGAGGTATTCAACTGTTTTAAGTAGCCTTTTAAAATCTGATACAGCTAATTTATTTCAATATAGCTTTCTAAATGGGCATTTTTAACTTAATTGGCAATTTGAGAAAACTCAAAACTGTTTAATTTTTCCACAACAGATCCACCAAGTGTTTTCAACATGCCTGAAGCAGACATAAAAAGAATTTTTTGGGTATTATCTCTTCCTATTATTACATTACTTTTTCTAACCATACCAGATTGTAGAAAAACATTTTGGAAAAACTACTTTGTGATAACCTTTTTCATGTCTGCACTATGGATATCTGCATTTACATATATCCTGGTTTGGATGGTCACAATTACTGGTATGTATTTTAAGTATAATAGCACAATTTAAAAAGAAAATAATTTCATATGAGAACAAATTGCATATGTTCACTTCAAGTAGTCTAGAGCTAGGCAGCAAATTTCTTTTTCAACAAGACTAAAGATTAATGCTATTTACAAAATGATTAAATATTAATATATTAATAACAACAAGAACACTCAGGTTTTGTGAGTTGCATATTGCATATCAATTATATTTCTCACTACTATACACCCTAGGGTACAAGTCAAGGGATCATCTTAAAAATGCAATCAAATTCACAGGATGTCTATTATGATAATAATTAAATCACATTGAATGGAGTCCACAATAAACTCCTCATATTGAATTCCATTCCATAATGAAAAACAGAGTGAGGAGCCAGTGTTTTGAGAAAATAATGGGTACTATTCAACTGGATTCTGTTTTATTTTGCTTTAGAATATGGCAAAATAAACATATTATGAAATGAGTGAAAAGGGCATAAAATAAAGTTTCATTGTAGGTTTCTACTACCTTTATAAATTAAGACGTTAAGTAATAGTTAATATTACTGTTTAACTGTTACTGCTGGCCATAATCTGCTTTAGTCTCCAAAGGAAAAACTAATTTATAAACACAGACCAAAAAATCAGGAATTTCTCTCAAAATGGTTAACCTGAATTGACTCATATTAACAGCGAACAAACTACTGTCTGTGCCAAAATTACCCAACTTGTTTTTATTAGTAAAGTTTTACTGAATACAGTCATGCCCATTTATTCATATTTTATCTGTGACTGCTTTCAAACTCTACTGGTGGAGCTGAATAACTGCAACAGACATCAAAGTAATTACTATCTGGCCCTTCACAAAAAACAAACAAACAAATAAAAACAAAACTCCTTACCCCTGACTTTTCCCAAATTAGAATATAATATATAAGTCTTAGAATAGTATACTAGCAAAAAGTAGAATATTGGGGTTTTTTTAAATGATAAAGATAAAAAGTCCAATTAGCCTGCATGTTATATCTATCCAGATTTTCTCAGCCAGAACATATTTGATATTAGGAAAATAAAAAGAGCAAAATCAAGTAATAGATCACAGAACAGCTACTAAGATGTAAATATTAGTGTTATTTATGTACATATGAATTCTAGCAAAGCCAGTAACAAAAATTAACCAATTCCAATTCGAGAATCAACATGTAAACATGCAATAAATAAGCAACTTTCTAATTAAGTTCTTTTAATTGGCATTTTAAGGAAAAAAAAAAAGAAAAAGATCCTAAACCAAGTTGTCAACTATAACATTAAAAAACAGTTAAATATCTTTTTTTTTAACTTCCCTCTGGTTCTGTTTCCCATAATGAATACATTTCTGAAAAATGTTGAACTGACATCAAATTTAACAGAAGTATTAATAAATTGGGACCATATGTTAGAAAGACTCGAGTAGAAAACAAATAGGTTTTGTTTTCCTCAAGAGATTTATGGACTTTCCCAAGAAATACACTAAATTAAGGTACATCACTAAAGCAGAACTTTAAAAATGTATATATACATGTTAACACATTTATAGCTTAAAGGTAGCTATAAATAATTTGCTTAACTCTGACTACTTTTGAAGACACTGTTTTAGAAAAGAAAATGAGGACATGATCAGTCTCATTAGCATATATTAAACAACAGCCCTGATGCGAAAAAAGATGGACATCTACAACCTCTATAAGAATACCAAATAGGGCAATTTCTCATTAGTAACATTTTGGCTGCTAAATATCTTCTGTTAAAAATCTGTGCTACATTGGTTGCCCAAACTGCCAACCCGATTCAAATATTTTGCTAACTTAAAAACTAAGTAAAACTCATATTGGTTCTGAAATCTAAATGTGCCTATTTTATTTTTGTTCTGGAAGAAAATATCTATAAAGACTGGTTAAATCAATCTATAAGATTTGTAACTTGTAATGTCTATGTTTATTACAGGGGAAACACTAGAAATTCCAGATACAGTAATGGGCCTTACTTTATTAGCAGCGGGAACAAGCATACCAGACACAATTTCAAGTGTGTTGGTTGCAAGAAAAGGTAAGAACTAGATTCCTCAAGCTGCAGAGCCCATTCGTCAATCCTGGCTGGAATAGACTGAGTAAAGGTAGCTTTAAAAATATTTATTTCCTCAGTAACATACTTTGAAGGAAAAAAAAAGTGACTCTAGAGGAAGAGTTTACTATTTAATAGATTAATTTCACTTACTCTAATCCCCCAAATAATATTCACCTGAAATGTGCATTAAATAGTAATTAACCATGTTAAATTTGAATGAAAAGCAACAAGTAAGCTACATACCTTATTAAAAAATGGTTTAATAAATAAAGATAATTATTATTAAATAAATGTTAAGACTATAAATACTAACTCAAGAAAAATTTTAAAATACAAATTCAATAAGACTTTTGCTCTAATAACAATATACCAAAACCAACCAACAACAAAAAGTATCCAGTGTTTTTTCCTTATGAAGACTATTAATAAAATACAGTACTGGTATGCACATTTTAACAACATATTTTTCTTTTGTAGGTAAAGGAGATATGGCTATGTCTAACATCGTGGGATCCAATGTATTTGATATGCTATGTCTTGGTGTTCCATGGTTTATTAAAACTGCATTTATGAATGCATCAGCTCCTATAGAAGTGAACAGCAGAGGACTAACTTACATAACCATCTCTCTCAACATTTCAATTATTTTTCTCTTTTTAGCAGTTCACTTTAATGGCTGGAAACTAGACAAAAAGTTGGGAGGAGTTTGCCTAGTATTATACTTGGGGCTTGCTACACTATCAATTCTATATGAACTTGGAATTATTGGAAATAATAAAATAAGGGGTTGCGGAGGTTGATATTATTAATAGTGTTATGTGGGAAATGTGAATGGCAGGGAGGGGAAGAGAGGGAAAAATCCATTTCTTCGTTTAAATCAAATAAAAAACATACTAAACTTCAGAATCTAAAACTTACAGTAATTCTTCATCACCAAAGTAACTCAAAACCAACCAAAATCACATCCTAATTTGTCTGAGCCCTTTCTTCTCATGAGCAATTACATATTATAAAACAGAAGTTTTGAAAAAAACATCTATGTTTTACCTCACAATAAGTCGATAAAAGCTGAGGAAACTAGAACAAATCCCACTATGTAGTACTGAAAACAACAACAAAATGGCTTATTTCATTAAAAACAGTATAACCATTCATTTAAACTGAATGACCAGACTTGCTGTCTTTAAAAACCCAAACTTGAGATTAACAAAAATCACAGTATATTTTTAACATTATACTGTTAAAAGCTGGTGGGAGTTTTAAAAGTACATTTTTACAGTTTTTGTAAGCATACAGTGTTACTTAAAAATGACTTCTACTAGGAGATTCAGCAAAACAGATGTAGGAATGTTCCAACCATGGTTTGAAATTATGCATTACGATCCAAGCGAACATCGATTTCTCTGCCACTGATTTTTATGCCATTCATTATTCTGCAGGCTTTTTCAGCTGATTCTGGGGAGTCAAATCTCACTGTTCCACAGCCTTTCGACTTTCCATTCTCCATTTTTATTTCTGCAAACATTACATGACCTATAAAAGAAAAGCCATAGAGTTATTAGTCAGTTTAAATGGGTTCCATTTCACTATACAGGTTTAAAATTCCCCATAGCCAATGAAGTAAAAAGTAATTCGATTAAGAACATTAATATTAATGATTTAAAAATTACAAATCACATAAGCATTATTATCATTTTATATTTTGAATATAACACAATTCACATAAAGTAATAAACAGATACATATTAGAATATACATAATTGGAAATCAGGATAGATTTGTTTAAGATTTAATACATATTATTTATGTTAAATCCCTAATTTCTGAAGTGAATTTTATAGCAGTAGGTCAAGCTAGCACAAAATGCCACCAACTGACCATGCCCCAAAACAAACTTAGATATTTAAACAAAATTATTTTTAGAATTAAATGGCTGCTTACTGCCCAATCCCCCAATTTCTCTTCTTTTCCTTTTATCCTCATTTCACTCCTTCATCCCCTGCAAATAAGTGCAACTGCCCAGAAATCTAACTTCTATCAGGCCACAAAGGGCCTCAACTAATTCACCTGTTCAACCAATGCCAAAGCCATTTACTCACTATCACAATTTGAGCTCAAAGTCCAAGAATGGCACCAAATATGTTATGGAAATAGTCATGGAAGAGATAGCATAAATTTAAATCAATAACAGTAAAAATAGTAATATTAACAGCACAAAGGAGAACCTCAGAGAAATTTCAGGAAGAAAGATGAAAACCAGACAATTATTCCTTGTACAGTTAATAACACTACTAACTATAGAGACTGGTATTTGAAGTAAACCAATACCATTTATAAAAATATAAAGTGGCCATAAAAATTCATTATCTAAACTAGAACACTTCTGAGAATAAAAGGAGGCGTTATCAATAATTACACGTAAGTAACAGATGTAAAGTGAGACTATCCTCAGGCAAACTGGAATGCATGATCACCCAATCCAAACAGGTCATAAATTTCCTTAGGTGTGACTACTTACCATATTTCCCTCCCCTCTAGATGTATGTGTCCAAACAAATCAAGTTAGAGAACTTCAAATAGTATAGTTGCCAGATCACTATAAGCTAATTTAGTCTGACAACCAAATCAGACAACCAGATATATTCAGTTCCATAAAGGGAGGGAAAAAAGGAAAAAGGGGAAAGGTCAAAACAGAGGGCCCATGAAAAAACTGCATAATCCCTTTCCAGGTGACAGAATCAGTTTTTAATCTCAATGCATGAGTTTGATTTTTTTTCCCTTTGAAATCATGATCTGAATGATCTCTTATCTACAATACCCTGGGATACTTTTCTATTTTTGTTTTTTCATCCACCCACATTGGTGGGTTTCTTTTTAAAACCAAATGGTAGTCAACTCCTCACCTACTAAACATGAATCAAATGGTCTAAGATAATGAATGTCATACTGAGCCAAAACCATGCTTTTTTTTTTTTTTTAGACAGAGTCTCACTCCGTTGCCTGGGCTAGAGTTGCCATGGTGTCAGCCTAGCTCATAGCAACCTCACACTCCTGGGCTCAAGCAATCCTGCTGCCTCAGCCTCCCGAGTAGCTGGGACTACAGGCATGCACCACCATGCCCAGCTAATTTTTTCTATATATATTAATTGGCCAATTAATTTCTTTCTATTTTTAGTAGAGACAGGGGTCTCCCTCTTGCTCAGGCTGGTTTCAAACTCCTGACCTTGAGCAATCCTCCCACCTCAGCCTCCTAGAGAGCTAGGATTACAGGCGTGAGCCACACGCCCACCTGGCCCAAAACCATGATCTTGTTACCTAAGCCAGGCAGGCTTTAAATATGTTCTGAAAGTTATAAAACTGTCTAATTAATCTCCAGAGAAATTACATTATAATGGTTAAAATAGACCCAGGTAATATTTAACCTACAACTGGGATAAAAGAAGAAAAAAAAAAAAACATAGCAATCATACTTTCTAATAAACATCATAAAATGAAACTGGAAAATATATTTTTTAAAAAAACTTTAAAGATAAATGCAGCACAGTTTTCAGTCCTCTTAATATCTTGAATGCTCATACTTGAAAAAAAGCAAGTTGAATTAAAGAAGCCCACCTTGGTAAATGGCAGCACTTAATAGTGATTTTGAAAGGGACTGTATAATTTTCAAGGGCAGGTTAAAGGTGCTTCCTTATTCTAATTTTACCTAAAAACTTAGGGTTTTTCTTAACATAAGTATCCCATCATAGGTTTATTATCAATAGTAAAGTTCACCCAAGCAAGAAATCTTCGAAACTTTTAAGGAAAATATGTCACTACCTTTTACATAATCTCTCAATCTGTCAAAACAAGTTTCTCTTTCTTTTTTGTTTTCTTCATAAATTGTCTCCCTTAGTTTAGGAATCAGTACTCAAGACCTCCGCATTCCTGACCTGACAATGATCTCAAGAATTTTCTAGCTGACAAGGCCCCTCAGCTAAGATACTTGAACCTTCTTACAATTTGGACATTCAGGCTATACAGAGAGTAGTCCACAGATACTTGTTTCACGGTTTGACTGTCACCAAAAAATCCCAGAAGGATGGAACCAGAAAGAATTGTAAATTTTCTAAGTTTCTTCCTAATCTTATAAAAATACCAATTGATATATTTTCTAAAGATAACGCAGGAAAAAAATAGTTTCAAATAATTGATTAATATCAGGCCTACCTTTTCACATACTGAAGATTTCCTCAACTGACTTAAATATCTACTGATCTTGTATGATTCCATGAAAACAAAAATAGGACTGCTGTTTTAGCAACAGTAAAGGATAAAACAGCATGCCACGAGAAACCAGTATCACAGAATAAGCAAACACACTGCTGCTACATATACTAGTAATAGAAATGACTTATCCTACAGTAAGAAAAACCTTTCCACTTTATTTAACCCAGCCTATTAACATCTGTGGGGTACACTTTGGGAAATGCTGATAAAAGAGCATACCTAAAGATAGACCAAGTTAAAGCATTTATGAATAAATAACTGGTTCAATAAAATCTAGTGCCTAAGTAAAGCTGTAACATAACCACAGGAGAAAAAAGGAAAATCAGACATTCTACCATAAGAAGCATAATTAAGACATAATGGACAAAATACAAAGTTTTAGTGTTTCTTTATAAATAAAAGAAAGTGACTATCAATGAATATAATTAAATATAATTGAGAGATTATAATATATTCTTCATATATTATTTTTATTGTTACCAAATTATTTTACTGTTAAGTTATTCTAGAGTTAAAGTCCACTCATCATGCTTGAAGCAGCAAGTGCTTAGTAAATAAAATTTACCCCAAGTCTCCATTTTCCATGTGGTTAACTGATATAGAAATACAACACAATGGAAATTTGTGGAACAAAATTATTAATATATTTGTTTATATGTCTTACAGCAAGAATAGCTGGGAACAAGCTTTCCTTGCACTGAAATTCTAAAATGTTATAGTCCTGTAACATACCGAGCCAGAAGGCCAGAATTCAGCTAACATATATAGACAACATGAGAGCAAGTTTGAAAGACTATGCCTATTTGACCCCATTAGCACAAGCCAAACTAATGTGGGGTCCAACTTTGGATAGGTCAGTTAATTTATTTTTACTCAGCCTTCTTGAAAATGCATGTCACTGAGGAATTATACAGGGCAGGATAAAAAGAGAGATATTTTTTACTATAGGAAAGATGTGTGTCTCATTGGCCTGGGGTCCAAAACATTGTCTTTGGGGGCTTATTGGAATTAGAAGGAATTGAAAAATAACAGTTATATTAACTTATTGCTCATCTTGTTATATTTGGGAAGATCTAAAAACACCTTTTCCTGAATTTATAAAGGCTGAGAAAATGTTGTATTGAGGTTATAATCCATAAATAACGTTTTCTCAGCCTTTGTAATTGCTCCATCAAGGACAGCTAATCACTAGAGACATTTTATGAGCAGGAAGGATTGCCAGTGGGACCATTTACTGGCATATATAGTGTAGGAGAGATGCATGGAGTACCACTAGACTCTTATTAAGAAGCAAGCAAGAGAATATACTTACTCACTTTGGGCTCGGGGAAAAAACAAAGAAACAAAACTGCCTTTACTGCCAACGAGGCCATTACTGACTCACAGTAGGTTAAAAAGAAACATCCCATACTAAGAAAAATCGTAAGACTTATAAATAAAGTGATGTGCCAGAAAAATGGATGGTTTAGTTCATATTAGCCAGATAATTTCCATAGTTGTCAATAGCTGGACACTAAATTCTATATTATTATAACTTTCTTTCCCATCAATGCAATTCAGGTTAAAAATAAGAGAGATTAGGGAATTTTATAAATATGCTATTACTGTAATATAAAATCTAAAAGTCAGAAGTTTTTACAATAAATTGAGAATAAACAAATATCATTAATCTTAAGGTATAACTATAGATTGATCAAAAAG